CTGAAATCACTAAAGAAAGTGGAATGAAGCCTAAAATAAATAGAATAGATGCTGAAAATCCTTTTTTGCAAAAGAAACTACAATATCTTAAACTCCCATTGGATTCACCACTCTTATTAAATATGCATGACATATTCCAATAATCTCCATAGATCTACAGGACAGTAAAATATCGAATCGTTTAATCTTTTAAGATGTCAAATAAAATAATCATTGATAGTGTGAGTATTAAGCTCCTTGATATCTACATTATATAACTCTGTCTCTATAAGACATCTCTACACTTTCTCTTTTCTATAATTTTATTTTATGTAAGAGAACTAGGAATGGTGTACTGTGCCACAATGCCCTACTCTCTATGTATGTATTAAAAGTGCTACGATTTACACCCTCCTTACAATTCTTCCAATATAACTCACCACCTTAGTCTGATCTTAAAACCATAATCACTTTACCCAACTACTTTTAACTTTAGGCTGGTATATTTTACACACATCAAGTGTTTCGGACTTCTGGTGGATTAAGTACACAATCATATATTGAGAACCCATCAATGACGACAATGAAATACCTTTACCACACTCGAGCTACAATAGAAAATGGACCACAAATTTTGGTATAAATATAGTCCAAAAGACCAAATGACCAACTAACCTCAAAATTGTGTTTCTTCTATATCTTCCCATCGACACAATCAACACATTAATCATAATTTGAAAAATTTAGTGGTCTAATAATACCATCCTTGACCAAGCATTCAAGTTTCTTTCGAGAAATATTCCCTCATATCCTATACATAGCATAGATAAATCCTCTCTAACTCAAGCATGTTTTAATTCAGAAGGCATTAAGTCTATTGAAAAAACAAGAAGCAGGCAGGATCCCTCCCAAATCCATCTACTATGTTTTTACCTATACTTTTACCAAGTTAGGCTCAAATATTAACATGGCAATTTTCTTTCATGCTTTGTTTTTCTTTTTCACCACAAAAGTCTTTTTCTTTTTACGTCATTTTATTTCTACAGAACTAACATTTATCATTTTATGATCAATGTTTTTTTATGTATTGTTCTACCGTTCTTTATTCTGTTTAGCTTTATACACTTTCTTGCCGCCTAATTTCTTCTTGAAACTATTCTTGCTGTCACGACAAGATGAGCTGACTCAGTTTTAACACCCTTGAGTTGTTCCCCTTCAATCACACAAAGTGCTTTAATAGCTGGTTAATGCCTAAGCAAAGAATAGATCACTATGTGGACTAATAACTTATCATCAAATATGATTCCTTACTACCTCATATCATTAACCAGCTTGCACATCATATGGATGTACTCTTTCACTGAACCATTGCCATCATATCTGACTAACATAAACCATATCAGATAATAATATTATAGTTTTTCTTAATGCCCATTAACTCTTCCTTGATAAAATCAAGAAGTTCATTGGCAGTATAAAAAACCAGAATACCACCCTGAATAATATCACCAATAGAAGCATAAATTAACATAATAGTATGGTAGTACCTTTAGTCCACATAAAAATACAATAACTTTTCTACCTAAAAAGACTCTACACTAGACATACGGATTTCTTCCTAAAAAAAAAAAAAAAAAAACACAAACTCATAGTCCAAGAAATCCAATATAATATCAGAACCTATCTTCTAGGCAATATAATATCAAAACCTGTGTTCTAGGCAAAACATGTCCACCCTGCGGAAATAGATAAAATGCCATCTAAAAATCATCTTTTGGCAGAATTTTAGATTTTTACTTTACCCCCCCCCCCCCCCCCCAAAAAAAAAACTTGCAATCAAATCACACATAGACCTATTTGATTATACTTGAATTATTGCTAAACACTTCTACCTTTTAGTAAAAGAGTTATTTAGTTATAATCTAAACACTCTCAAATATTAATGTACTCACTTATCACACACACTAAGACATTGATCAACTTTTGGTAAAACAAATGCCCTTATGTAGGTAAGTGCACTGTGAGACCTCAATAAGACCAATGCCTTAAAATTTCAAAAAAGTAATAACCTCGGTGAGCGTGTCACATTTTGGCAAGCATCACCCACTTTGGCTACCATATTTGAAACGGTCACTTTACCGGTTTTTCAAAACCCCAAGTAAGAACTTATGCAACAAAAATTTCATTTATTTAAGTTCAACGTACAATTTCTTTATAATGTACAAAAACTAAACCCAAATATTATGGAACACTTGATTTCACTGTAATATAAATGGCTTTAACACAAATAAAATTAAGCCTCCTCATACATATCAAGAAATTACAGTGAACAATATAATTATATGTACATCAATCAAGATTTAAAAACCTTAATTCTTTCTATTCTTTAATTGAAATAAAAGAACAAAAAATTTGATGCATGTATATTATATATCCAATAAACAATTTAAAGTACTTGAATCTTTAAATCAATTAGGTTAATACTGTTTGCTTATGGCACATAAACGCCATAGGTTTTTCAACCTAAAATTAAACAATAAAAACTTGAATATGTAAATCAATCAGATCAATAATACTTGTTTATGTCACACAAACCCTCCATAAGTTTTTCAACTTAAAATTGAACAAGTATTATGAATTACTTAATAAAAGTATTGGACATAAGGCGTGGCTAGACTGGCACGCAGCTTCACGGTCTTGTATATGTATATATTACATAAAATAGTTTATCTATACATAATATATATTGGGCAAACAAATTATTCCATGATGGCGCACGTAATCCAAGATCTATAATCTCTCTACATGAATAATTTCATAAGAACCAATTCAAAAGAAATTATTTTTAATCACTAAATGAATTAATATAATAAAAGGATAAACCTTCAGTTGCCTTAATTGAGTCATGTAGCAGATATCTGTGTATTATATACATATTATATATGTACAATTGCATACAAGCAACACTTAGTTCTCAAACTAAAATCAATCTTCTAGATTAGTTTTGAACGAAAGACAGGCTTGTGGCCTAGCGGTACAAGGCTCCTACTTTTCAAAGGGACGTCAGGGGTTTGAACCTCAGTGGAGGCAATGTGTGTGAGTACTTTACGGTTTTCTTTTTCATGCACACATTAATTCATATACACATATATATAGTTAAAGACACTTAATCTACATGCATATCAATATATAATTCACACAAATCAAGACATTTAGTCTTATTGTACATCCATGTCATATTAATCGGGTATAATGATATACTGCACATGAATGGTTAGATAACCACACATTACTACATCAGTTACCATACATATATATGAATATATGATTAAATATCAAATTAAATAAATATTCAATCCTAATTTCTTTCAATATATGTTCAAATAATGTATGATAATATATATATATATACAATCACATATTCACATCTATATAACTAGTAATAAATTCATTCAACATAGAAAACCACAAATCCAAATTAGAATTATAAATTCAAGAATTTATAATTTTCTTTTCAATTTAGTTTCAAAAGAAACAATTAGGTCACAATTTAGCAGAAGGAAGCATATATATATATATATATATATATATATATATATATATCACTTATATCATTGTCTTCCTCGTTCGGTGTGCTTGTGTTATAAAGAAACAAGAAAACAATTGCATAACAAACAAAGTTGCTTAAATGTTCCGTTCGGCGTACACAAGCCATGATATATACATGATTTAGCATTTAAAACAAAACCTCATATGCTTATATATAAATCAATTATACATCCGTGTATGTACCAGTACAAACTAATACAATTTTTTTTTAGCCTTACATCTACTAGGTCAAGCATGAAAATTGAGGATTTATGCAATCAGTGTGATTTCAAATATATCGTAAATCAATCTTTACTATTTCTACAAACTCTAACCTTGCTCTGATACTAATTATTGGGTTTTAATCAAATAATTTACATGTAGAAATCAAAAATATTACAATTAATTAAAAAGATAATTTAGTCTCGTACCTGATTGATAATTAAAGTACATATACTTTTTGATTTTGGAGGATAGCCTTAGAATTCTTTGTGATCTTGCAAAACATTAGAGTGTTTTACCCCCTTCTGAGAGTTGTCCTTCGATAGGGTTGAATAAGAGTTTAAAACCTTTATATATAACAGGGGATGACTTCTCTACAAATAAACATACCTAAGTCTCCCTTCCTATCATGGAAACTTAGATATAAATGATTAGAATTAAATCATAGCAAATAAGTTGAAAAACTACAATCCAATTGTATAAAACCAATGTCCCAATTAGATCACCAAATTGGAAAGTACAATCAAATTCATCAAATATCAATAATCACATTGCAATCCTATTTTAGAAAACATAGTGCTTAAGACCATAAAATAATTTTTATTATTTATATATAAAATTTCTTACAGTTTCACGCTTCTTGATTAAGGAAACTTCAAGGAATGCTAGGTAAAGACGACTTTTGAAATTTTTGAAAGGAACTTCTAAGAAAACTTCCAGGAATGCTAATTCATGAAGTTACCAACATTATTATAAACACAGTTTCAGATTTTTATATACAACTGAAAGAGGCCTTCAAGGAGAGTTTCAATACCTTCAAGGCTTCAACATATTATGACGTTTCCCAACTTTTTCTATTGGTCCGTGACATTTCTGGGAAGGTTCCGGAGCTGCTTCAAGTCACTTCTAGAAGTCATGAGTTCCTTACAAACATCCAACTATTCCTTTCAAATCAATCCCATCCCTTTCTTCCAAACAAGCTCTAAACATATATATATGTTAAAAATGATTTTACTTACTAAGAATTAATTGGGTCAGTGACTACTTGATACAATTTTATATTTTCCGCCAGGCATGAGAACATTACAATATATAATTTAGTCAACCGAGACACACAGTATGTATCAAGAGTGGCACTTGTATATAAAGCTCAGGCAGCACTTACATATATAACACAGAGAGGGTGTGTGTGAGAGAGAGAGAGAGAGAGAATGGAGCACCATCATGAAGCAACTGCAGAGCAGAGACTTTTTCACCATGCTCGTACTCTAAGAGAGGGGCTGGCAGAGAAACGGAATGTGATATTGTTGGTGGCAACGCTGATCGCAACACTCACTTTCCAAGCTGCTCTGAACCCTCCAGGTGGTGTTTGGCAAGCCGACTCACCGGCAAATTACTCAGGTATCCCATACAGGGCAGGAGAATCTGTAATGGCTTATAACCATCCTGATGCATACGCAACATTTTGTATTGCAAACCTAATTGGTTTCATTGCATCTCTGTCCACAATCTTTTTGCTCATGACTGCATTGAGGTCTAGGAACCACTTTCTTTCCGGGGTTCTGATAGGGGCTTTGATTGGGGTCATGTGCTTGACAATTATATCAGTTCTGGTAATTGTGGCTGTTTCTGTTGCCGCAATTACCCCAGAAAATGTCAAAGAAAAAATCCATATTCAATTCGGAATAGTTGTTGGAATCATTGTTTATTGCATTCTACTGATCTCTCCAATGACAGCTCTGGTAGCAATTTGCTTCTTAATACCTCATGGTACAGTTGATGTAAACCATGCCAATGGAGACGTAGAAGCACCTCAAATTCAAGTTGATGTAAACCATGTCAATGGTGACCAAGAAGCTCCTCTAATTCAGTTAACATGAGGCATGTCAAGCTTCATTAAGTACTTATGTAAATGTGTAAATTTCCACTTCTCTTTTAAACGGTGTGAAGGCTTTAGCAAAGAATGTACTGGTTACGCTTAAAATCTCAATCATAAGTGTTTTGTTTTACTGGCTTGTAAAATTTTATATTCGTCTTTAGAAAAACGATTAATTTATTTGAAACTTGCATGATCTATTTTGGAATCTTGATTATCTTACTTGTACCTCCTCCTTTTTTAAAATTATATTGTAATTATATTCTATAGTCATCTAACTTCTAAGGTTTAGGGTTTTCACTGTATAGCCATATATTGGATTACTTATACTCCACTCACTTACCCCCAAATCGGTCCTCTTCTATATAAATGAACATTGTATACTTGAGAACTACAATCTGATTGAGAACTACAATCTGTATAAATACTTTCGTTGTTCAGATAATATCAGCTGAAAGTTCACGCTTAGACAGTGAAGATGCTACTGAAAAAAGCCAAAAATAAGCTCCCCAGTTTTGTATACATTTTCCCACTCCGTCAGGCGCTTTCAAGAGCCGCCAGTAGTTTGCATAGCTCTCACGCGCCTTCACATGCTTGGATTTTTTGTCTTAACGGCACATCAACAAACAACAGACTACCTTGCCGCCTAAAGTGCCACGTCAATAGTGACATGTCACATCATCAATTGTTTAATTAGCACCACCATTGACAAATTGAAAACAGTGATTTTAAGAACCTCCCAAGACAAAAAAAAAAAACCAAAAAGTACAATTGAATCAATCACAAGGTCTTCTGCAAAAAAAAACTTGAGGAAACAACAATTATTTAGTGGAATAGTCATATATGCATCCTCATAATTATGCTTAGTCAAAGAACTTTAGCTAATAGCTTAGTTTTGACAAGGTAAACAGCTGTTTTATAAAATCCTCATGAAATACAAAATTGTAGCCCTTCAAATTTCCTTTCAAGTTGCTTAACAATTCAGTTGTTTTGACACTTGATGAGAGATATACAGATAGATTACCAAAATAGGTTCAAGTTGCCAATTGTGGAGAAAGTTTCCTTGTTGGAGAAAGATTCTTACTTTTGTTCTTCTTTCCATTCTCATCAACTTGTAGCTTCTTTTGGACTCTTTTCTAAGTCTAATTAGACTTGGATCTTCTTCATTACTCGGTCCTATGGAATGTCAATTTTTTAAAGCTCGAAATTATTGGTCTTAACTGATATTACAATTAAAGCCCTAAAATAAATAATAATAATAAAACAATATAAAATCACAAATAAACTACTACTAAGAAAATAAAACATGCAAGTTAAGGGACTAAAATGCATAACATTCAATGCCTAACACATCCCCAAACTTACGTATTACTAGTCCCATAGCAATAAAACTAAAGAAACATAAAGTCCGCTTTCGTGGGAATCACGATTTCATTTACCGTATGTAACAAACCTTTTTAACCCCTAGTAAACGAGTGAAGTCTTGTAAGGGTTTTAGAGATGATACCCACAAACATACAAAATAATTCAATCCTTCGGCAATTAACTTATTCGTATATCATCAAAATAATTAGGGGGAAGACTACACAAAAGTACTTTAAAAATTATCAACTGACAATACTCCATGGTCCTTATACCTCAACTCAATGTTTCCCACATACTTTTTTAACAAGAATAATAGCAAAATCAATCCCCAATATTGTGAAATTGTGAGCTAGCAAATCACCTATGTAGTAATGTCTTTTCAATTAAGCCCAATTTCTATGACTTCAATTCCTCAAATCACTTCTCAAGTTATCTTTCTATGACAAATTTTTTTTCTTCTCACACACATTGGATTTATTACTTTTGCGATGTCCAGTCTATTAAGCTTTCTAGAAGACTCATGTAACAAGTTTTCTGCCAATGACTCCTAGACCTGACAGTCTTAGGGCATTAGGTGTAAAGACACCCCTAAGAACTTAATTGCTCAATTCAACTAGGCTACAAACCAAATCAATTTATTTCAATTTCTTCTTTCTATTTTTATTTTTTTTTATTTTTTTTTTCTTATCCTTACCTCCTACTTCTTCATTCGAACACTCTATGCTTATGAGACATGAGGCCTAATTACTCCATGAAAGGGTTTAGATTTTTTATTTATTTTTATGCCATAATAATAACCTTTAAAGTTCACCAATTCATATCCATCCATAGCCATCAAAATTCAACTAAAAATACAAATACTCATAAATAAAATTCTAATGTGCATGTGAAATCCATCACAGACTGACAAATACCAGAACTCCTATCATACTAGATAATGGAACCCACATAAGATAAAGCACAAGTATTAGGAATTCAGAACTATCTCGGAAAAGAATTTTAAAAATTAGTTAAGTGTCTTAATCCCCCCACCAATTCTCAAATACATGAATTAAGATCAATATGTCAAAGAAAAAAAAAATAAATTATTATTATTATTATTTTAAAAAAAAAAAACATTACTAGACTCTAGAGTCTATGCCCCCCAAACTTGAATTGGATAGTGTCCTCACTGGGCAAAAATCAAAAGCAAGAAAAATAACAATTAAAAAGAAAATAAAAGCAAAGAGCAATAGCTAGAATGGAAGAGGTGGAGCATCGGGATTAAGCCCGTTATGAATTATAAGAGCACGCATTATGTCATTATTAACCTTGGATCCTAATGAATCGTCCTCCATTCCTGACAAATTTTATGAACTTCAGCTCTGAGTTGGGTCACCTCACCCACCAAATAATCATATGGATGCTCTGCCCAAAAGATTAGTAATAAACTAATAGTAAGGAAAGTGGGCATGGTGAATACCAATTAGAGGAACAATCAAGAAATATATAAGGTAGGGAAGGAGGAAGAAAGGAAAGTGGGTATGGTGAAGGAAGGATTTCTAATGGGCGTAGGAAAGTAGGTTTATATGGAAGCTGGTGTAATGGGCTTAGGAAGAAGTAAATTGGTGAATGAAAAGTTGAAAGATGGGAAAAAGATAGATATATAAGACTGCTATGTGTTCGCTGTCGAATCCCCCCCCCCCCCTTGCGGGCGATGGTCGCCCAAGCTTGGGCTATCATTCCCTCGAATATGCTATGTACTTTAAAAAAATAATTCCTTGGGCAATGGTAGCCCAAAGTTGGGAAATCATTCACCTGGGCCTGCTATTCCTTGCAGCTGCGTTACCATGTGGGCGACGGTTGCCACCAAGCCGGGCGATCATTTGCCAGGTGCTGCCTTACTCACTTTGTCGCGAAATGCTGCTTGGTCGCCTACCATCGGCTAAATGGGGGTAGTATCGCCCTTACTGTCGGCTATGGAATTTTTTATTTTCCTCTAAGAAAGCAAGACGCATTTCATTACAAAGCTTATATCATGCACAATTAGCTAAAAATCCTACAAAACACATTAAATCCTCCTAATCTACAAAACAAACGATGAAATTAAAGAGAGAAAAAAAAAATACATAAATTAAATCGTATCTACAACTCTTACATTTAACGTCGGTAGACGACGTGGTACTTGGATGATTAGGTGGAGTAGATATGATCCATAAAATTGATGGATTTAACTCCTTCCGTAGGCACGGAATCTTCAATACACAATTTCAACCTTTGACTGTAACAACCCGATCATTTGCCTTCCTTTCCTTTTTCCTGAAATTTTACGAATGAATTTTTTTCGTTTAATTTTCTTTTCTGAGCTCTGTTTTGTGTCGCTTAGTGTCATCTCAAGTGCTCGGAATTGGCTTCTGAGACTCTTTCATGTGGATTGACAACTTCCTTTGAGGTCCGAGTCATTTTCACATTTTTCATTTTTTGATACTATGCGCTATTTCGTCCTTTTCCCTATTCTGTCTTATCCCCGTTTGTCAGTTTTTGGCACAACCTCACTTTTCGTGCTCAGAGTTAGTTTTTGACTTCATATATCTTGATCTTACATGGTTTCCACGAAATACGTATCTTCACTTTTTCAAGAAAGTACTCTGGTTACTCCCGGTGTCCATAGGGGCATGGATGCACAATTCTTTAGAATCCTTTTCATTTCTTGGGGTATTTTTCGTAAATATCTTTTAAAGATATTTTATTTCAGGGGCATTTAAGAAAATATCTTTTAGAAGATATTTTCATTCTGGGGCAGTTTCACAGTTAACCCTTTTTGTAGGGGCCATTGTGTAATTAATGAAAGTTATTGAAAAATATCTCGTCTGGAGCTTGGATCCTCATAGGAGATTCATTTTCACTTTTTGTTGGCTCGTAAATTCATAGAATTCCATTCTGGTCGTTTTTCTCCAGTTTCAGAGTTTTTGGACCTAGTTGCCGCCGAACTTGTTCGGGGCATAACTTTCTGCTCGTGACTTGGTTTTTGATGCTGCTTCTTCTGTTGTTCATATTTTCTTATTTTAAATCTTTTTTGTCCACTGAGTTTTGCCGTTTGAGCGCGTTTGCTCAAAATCCACTTTTCCGGACCCGGCGGGGCCCTTTCGGGGCACTTTTTGAGATTTCTATAAATAGGTTGCCCTAATTTTTAAAATCAGATTTTCAGACCTTCTTCCTCCTCTTGGCTGGCAGCCATAGGAGCCCAAGGGGCTACCTTCACTCTTTCTTCTCCTCCACTTGATTTCCTTGGTAGAAATCCTTCGGCCTTAGCATTTGTTGTTCGTCTCGTCGTGCTCTACCATTACCCCTTATTAGAAACCATTTTTGGCCAAGTTTTGAGTTTGGGTTTGAGGCCAAGTTTGGATTTTCATGGGGCTTCTTGGGGATTCATATAGATCGTGTTGTCCCCGACAAAACCCTTTGGTTTCGGCGGATTCGGAACACTTTTTTTTCGGTGGGCCTTTAAGGTTTTCATCTCAAATTGAGGTAGGAGGTGTTATAGGTTTAATTGTTGTTATATAACATGCTATTGATGCTTATACAACTTGATTGCATGCTTAAATATGAAATCTAGAGATTTTATTATTTAATTTTCTTGTATTGGATTTGATTTTTTCG